TACACGCCATCTCAGCAAGGAGTGGCTTTCAACTCTGGGGCAAAACAGAGGGTTATTCGTATGGTGGAAATGCAGAGAGATCCAATGGAACCTCCAAGGTTCAAGATTAATGAGAAAATTCCCCGAGGACCACCTTCTCCTCCCGCACCTGTCATGCATTCTCCTAGCCGAAAGATGACTGTGAAGAAGCAACAAGAGTGGAAGATTCCTCCGTGTATTTCAAACTGGAAAAATGCAAAGGGCTATACAGTTCCATTAGACAAACGTCTGGCTGCTGATGGAAGAGGATTGCAGACAGTTCACATCAATGAAAATTTTGCTAAGCTGGCCGAAGCCCTCTACATTGCTGATCGGAAGGCTCGTGAAGCCGTGGAAATGCGTGCCCAAGTAGAGAGAAAGATGGCTCAGAAAGAAAAAGAGAAACATGAAGAGAAACTGAGAGGAATGGCCCAGAAAGCTAGGGAGAGAAGAGCTGGGATCAAAACCCATGTGGAAAAAGAGGATGGGGAGGCATGTGAGAGGGATGAAATTCGGCACGACAGGCGGAAAGAGAGACAGCATGACCGGAATCTTTCCAGGGCAGCGCCCGATAAGAGGTCGAAACAGCAGAGAAATGAAAATCGAGATATCAGTGAGGTCATTGCTCTTGGTGTGCCCAATCCCCAGACTTCCAACGAAGTTCAATATGACCAAAGGCTGTTCAACCAATCCAAGGGCATGGACAGTGGTTTTGCAGGTGGAGAAGATGAAATTTACAATGTGTATGATCAAGCCTGGAGAGGTGGTAAAGATATGGCCCAGAATATTTACAGGCCCAGTAAAAATCTGGATAAGGACATGTATGGTGATGATCTAGAAGCCAGAATAAAGACCAACAGGTTCGTTCCTGAAAAGGAGTTTTCTGGTTCAGACTGTAGGCAAAGAGGTAGAGAAGGACCAGTTCAGTTTGAGGAAGATCCTTTTGGTTTGGACAAGTTCCTGGAAGAAGCCAAACAGCACGGTGGCTCTAAAAGACCCTCAGATAGCAGCCACCCTAAGGAACATGAGCATGAAGGCAAAAAGAGGAGGAAGGAATAGATACACCTCTTCACGGTGAATGGACTATTACCCATAACCCTAATGACGCAAGTCATATGGGCAAACATTTTGTACACGGGCCAGATAAAAACCAAATCTGGGGTCAGATCCCAGCACTACTTTTTATTACAGCAGAAAGGGGGGGAGGGATGGAAAATTCTACTTTGAACTATTTAGTTTTTTTTTTAAAGAGTGGGTTGCGTTTGTGCTCCTCCCACCTTTTGGCATTTATAGAACATACTGCCTCATAAATGAAATAAAGACCACTTCCTTTTATGTGACGTTAGTACTTTGGGGTTTTAATATTTTGTGTAAGAATGATTGCTTGCTGATGAGTCAAGTTAACCCAACCACAGTGAGTCGAAGGATGTTCACCTATTGGAACTGTCCTGTCAAATGATGTATGCCCCTAATGTGCTCTGTTTTAATTTTGGAGTGGGGAAAAGTAAGCGCTTGCATGGAGCAAATGTTTCAAATAAAAACATCTAGACAAAAAAATAAAAATAAAAACAAAACAGTGTGCTGATGTAAAAAGACCCAGAGAAGTTCCTTGTCCCATCATTCCAAAGACTTAGAGTTGCCCCAATGACAGAAAAGCAGAAAAAAGAAAAGGAAGGCTATGCAAGGGACCAAGGTGCCAACATGGGGTCAGCTGAAGACGTTAACAACTGAGGCTCAGCTTTGCCCCACATCTCCTTTCCTTTTTTTTTTTAATTTTTATTTTTTAATTTTTATTTTTTAAATATATTTTATTGATTTTT